CAGTGGGAACTTCACATCTGCGACTCTCTCAGGCTTTGCCCTATGTATCTCTCCCTTTGGCTTGTTCTGATTTGCATCCTTTTGCTATAATAAAATTGTAATCACAAGTATAACACCTTTCTGAGTTCTGTGAGTTATTCAAAAAATCATTAAATCAGAGAGGACAGTTTTGCCAGCTGGTTAGAAATGAGGATGGCTTGAGGACCCCAAATTGTGGCTGGTGTCTGATGTGAGATCTATCTTATTTGAGAGCTGTGTCTTTAACCTCGAGTTTGGCAAACTCATTGAAGAAGAGCATTTTCAGAGTTTCATATAAAATTCAAATTTGGGGAGAATGGGTTCTTTGAATCAGAGGAGACCAGAGGTTTCGCTTCTGAGAGACTTAGTTGATTATCAAGGCTGATCATGAGTGCTCATTTCCCTACCTTCTCCCCCAGTCACCCTCTGCAATTTGATATCAGTTCTTATGTTTTTTTTCCTGACCCATTTTAGCTCCTAAGTGTAAGACTTCAGACCTTCCTAAACACTTCTGATACACAGTTGATCAACTTACCTCTTTGGATTCTGGATTGCTTATTTCTTATTTTCTCTTGCCATTTCCTACATGTCCCTAAAACTATAGGGATTCTATGGAGATTCTGGAAACATTTGTTGAAGGTAAAATAGCCCTCAGCAAAAATAGGAAACAAATTGCTTTTTTTCATAAGTAGAAGAAAATAGGCTTTAGAAGGTAATTTAGTTCCTTCAAATTCTATCAGGTAGGTTCCTATGAAAACTAACATTTAAAGATAAACTGTAATAGAGACTTGAAAAAAAGGTTGTACCCCTTAATGTTTTTTGATATGTCTTAGGGTTTTACTCCAGCCTTACAGTCAAGGACTTCTTCATGCTTTATCTGTAGCTTCCCAATGGTAATTTGAGCTTATTTTGTATGCTTCTTTAAGGAAGAAGAAGAGAAACTTTCAGCTTATCTCTTTGCTTAGGTGAAGACAATGATTGTAAATACCACATTCCATTCTGTGAGAGAAAGGAGACATTGGTAGAGAGACTTCAAGCAATTCTTCAGTATTTTGTCCACTCTTTGCTCACACGATTTTCATCATCACTGGCTTCATTCCCTACCTTATTCATTAACACTTCCAAGAAGCAGTGCATTCAACCACAAGAACACCGACTCAGGTCAATGAAGACACATCTCCTTTTCACATTTATTTCATTTTGTTTTAAGATCACAGAAGAGCAGAGCATTCATACGTGTAAAGTAACAGAAGAGAGAAACAGAATTTAAATACACTGAAAACGAAAAGGAAAAAAGCTTTTTGTAAATTTAAAAATTTTTTTACACACACTGCGCTTTTTTGTTTCTTCACAGAGCTAGTATCCAGGAGGAAAAAATCCACCCAAGAAACAAAAATTTAAAACCTTGAACAACCCAAATCAACAACAACAAAAAACCCCACAAAAATGGCCATGTGTTTATATCAAGGAAAATTCTGTTGATGTCTACAGGGCTGAAAAAAGAATATATTTATATATTTATATATATTTATATGTATATAACACTGTTAATAAGGAGAATTCTAACCAAGAGCAGGATTTATACACCATTCAGTACAGCAGGGAGAAGGAAGGGGTGAAGCACTGGGGAAGGCAGGAGGGAGGTGAAGTTTTTCTCCCATGCTTCTTCCCCCCTGTAATCTCCTCCCTTTAACCTTCTCCTACTCCCAGTAAATATGTAGGTTGCAGAACTTGGGCCATAGCTCACCAGGATGAACCATTTATATTCTCTGGTGAAGAGCAAAGACTTAGGGAAGTGGGTTAAAAAAGGCTCCAAATAGCTTAGAATTATTGCCGCGTGCCACGAAGCTAGTAGTTCAGGTGTTTTCATTTGCAAGAAGCAGATTTTAACTCTGTGCCTGGCTTTACATAGAGCGGGCTTGTGCAGAGAAGAACATAGCTGACAGAGCAGATCCAGGAGCACCACTCAAAAAGCAGCACCTCTGAAATATCTATGGAAATGGGGAGTTGTCCTGTGGGCAGGTCATTCTCCCACTTAGGGGAGCTTTGTATGTATTCAAAGTACATTGCATTTTTTTATCTACATAAAGTGATAGTAATGTAGGGAAGTTATGTGTAATCCCTGCTCTGGTGTACAGGAGACTCCGATTCTTTCTGTTCTCTTAGGCAATCCATGGAAACCTACCATTGGACAGATGCTAAATTGAACCTCTAGGACAGTGTGGGGCTATATTGGGATGGGGCAAGACAAGTGAGTCTGTACTTCATCTGCCCAGAACATGGCACGAGCAAGTAATTCTTCATTAACCACCTAGAAACCAGCCTTCCTGCTTACCCTCTTCTCAGAGAATGGAACTTTCACATTTGGTTTTTGGCCTTCACAACAACTCTTACTATATTTAGATCTGTGACCTCCTAAAATGTGTTTATTTTTGTCCTATTTTCAACTTTTCTTCTCTACATGGTATTGTCATGTTTTTCCCTCTTTCCATGCACTTGCCTGACTTTATAGACTATAAGTCAAGTTTGGAGAAACTAATGCCATAAGAAATTCCTTCCAAAATGATACATAATCTTGCCCCTTTCTCAGGGAACTGCCTTTTGAACCTGTCTGGGACTACATGCTTACTGTCACCAGCACAAAGTGTTTTCCAGGACATACGTTTACTGAAGTGAGACACTTGGCCCAGGATGAGCGAAAACTGATGCTTCCTTTCATATGCACAGCTTCCTCACTTGTTACATGCATAATACCCAATCTGGTCATTTTCCTTCCTGTGAAAGCTTATTAGATATAGCTCAACAGTTAGATTTTATTATCAATAAAGAAACAACTCTAGCTGCTTCACTGCCTTCAGTTTAGTATGAATAAGTCCCTCCTCAACATTGCTAAGAAGTTTTGATCAGAAGAAAATTGTAGAACCCGTCCAGGGATCCTACATTCAAGGAAGTTTTGGCTTTTGAAATGGAGATGATGGAACGATGGTTCTGAAAAATGGGGATAGTCCAGAGACCAAACTAGAGATGACAAACAACAGCTTAAAATGATAAGCTGGGCACAGCACTCTATGGTATTAGATTCTTGTTCAGAATCAGAGAGTTGAGAGTTGCCAGAGGTTTTAGAGATCTCACTCACATTCCTCACTTTCAGGATGAGCAAACCAAGAGTCAGGAAGTTTACATGACTTGCTTAAGTTCACATGGCTTGTTTGTGGCTGGACCCAGGGCTAAAAACAAATTCTCCTGACCTCCAATCCAGTACACTTTCCACCCCACTTTAAAGTTGTCATTTATCTTGGGTAGGGGAGTGTATTTTAAGTGGATTATTAACTTGACCTAAATTTCTTTTCTAATGCAGTCTTTTCAGAAAATTCATGTAATCCCTGAACTCATCTCTTTGATGACTCTTTAGGTATTAGTTGTTTAGATTCTAGAAAAATTACCTATGTCTGTTAAACACATCCGACATTTCAAAAAGACCCCAAGAGAAAGTGTGTGAGAGACATACTCCCAATTGAAGTGATTTTGTTCTCATTTGCAATATTCAGAATAGATATGTAGACATACAGGTCTACTGGATTAAGTAAAAGTAGTTATTTCCTAGGGTGCTTTAGCAGGATATTTCTCAAAGATATACCATATTCCTTTATCCCACAATATTTTATGATTAAGATGACAAATATTTCCCAGTGTCTTTGGTGGATGGAAAACAAAAATTGAGTAATATTTGTTCATTAAAGTGTAGTTGACATCTTTGGAGCTATTTCCAATAAGACATCTTAGATCATGAGTAAAAAGTAACAAAGAAGACTTTTGGGAGTTGATGCACCAGACGCAAGAACCTTTAACATTCCTTCCTCCCTATCTCATCATTTCCTTTGCTTTGGGGGTCACGTGAAGCTATTGTGGAAACAGCTAGGAGAAACTCTACTTAGGTCCTGAAGGGACAAAGAGGTGACTTCCTGTGCCTTGGGTGGGTTAGGAACCTCTAACACTTCCTGTGGTCTGCTTCCTTTTTCTGGGGCAACCTTGAGTTTGGGCCATTAGTCATACGTGTTCTCATTCTGAATGTGAAAAGCTTTGGCTTTTATTTATTTTAATCTATTTTTCCTTTATGATTCACAGGTTTAACTGAACTTGGGCCCTGCCTGAAAACTGAAGTTTACATTGTTTATATTATGTACACAAACTAGTGATTTACATTGATTTACACATGATTGGTGCCTAATTTATTAATCAGCACACATAATGTAAATACGCTGAAAGGAAATCAAGATTTTAAAATAAGTTTTTCATAATATCCATAAACATTTGCACTAGAATAATATTAACCCTAGTCCTAATGTGAACACCAGCTTCCTGGCCAGGAGGAAAGTAATAGACGTTGCTGGGTGAAGAATTCTTTCCTGAATTTCAGCTGGTCACATTTGACAGCATAGCTACACGCAAATGAGAATAGTTTTTGCTTTTCTTTCACTAGTACGCACATAAATGTAAACTCCATTTTGCATTTAGGGAGATGTTTACTGATCTTATGCCAACCACAGTGCAAAATTCACCACACTGGGGCAAATACAGTCTTTGTAGGAGAAATATTTTAAAAACTTAAGAAAGAAGGCTTTCTAAACTGATTTGAATTTTTTAACTCAGGGTCTTATCTCATTATTTTGTGGTATATTTAACTTTTGTCTCAAAATAATAGTAGTTATAGGTCAGATATTGCATTACATTTATATTTCTATAAAAATGATAGTAATTGAGAACTAAGACTAAATTTAAGCTAAAAGGATTTGAAGATAAAGAGAAAATAATCCCATGGAACATAGTCCATAAACAAATTCCTTTGAAATAAATAATAACAAAATGGAAAAAATGGGGCTCCATGACTTCCTAAGTGAAGCATAGCTCCTTTTTTTAAACCAAATTCAAAATTTTAAACCAAATTTAAACCAAATTGGTTTTTAAGCCAAACTCTTCTTTCTTTTAGGTTTCAACAGTTATTCTAGATTTGTCTTCTAATACACATAATATTGTAAATATAGCATCTGTAAAGATAAAAAATAATACATACACACATATATTATTTTTCCACAAATAATTCAAGGCCTATGAAAACCAAAATGAGAAATTCTGGGAGACGAGCCAATAGAAACAGTCAAACCACAATGAACCAGGGGACGGAAACTGTGACTTTGGAGCAGTTGAGAAGCTAACAACTTGGTAGGTGATAACTCAGATACACTTTCACGCTGAGGAGTCTAGTTTTTGTGTGCAAAGGAGGTAAGTCCATTTTTGGAGGAGAAACAGACTTTTGTTTCTGTCCTCCAAGAACATGAAAATCACGAGTACTTTTACAAGGTCTCTATGAATAACCCCAGCTGTCTAAATGAGTAGTTAAAAAATGCCCATAACAAGGGAGAAGTCTGTCTGAACTTGGGAGAAAAGGCAAAGGTCAATGGGACAATTCTTTCCAAGAAAAAACTCAATGGCTTTCCCGTAAGCCTCATTTCCTTTAGGGCTGAAGGATATTATGTCTCAAAAGAAGTAAGACAAATAGCTTCTGATGAACAATTATCCAGAATATATAATTTTGCAGTTGTAAAACCTAAGATTAGTTCTCATAGTTCAGAAAGTGCCCTGGGTCAAGGTTATTTCTTTTTTTTTAACTGGAAATTGAGTCTCAGGATTATGTTTTATGATGATGTTTCTTTTGCATGCAAATAACATTAAACATATTAGTTATTCAGATTAACTGATGCACTTCACTCAGTCTTCTTAATGATTTGCTTCTAACCTCTGGGTTCTTTCCAGTTCAGAGTTTAAGCTTGGATTACCAGTGGACAAGATTCTTGAGAGAATTTATAGCAATATGATGAACTAATGAACTAAATTCCAAGAAGTCCCATGTTCAGACTCAATTTCTTGGTGACAGTCCTGCGGCTTCTACCTTTTTCCTGACCTTTTTCCATTCTTCACATTGCTTAGAGACATTCTCAAACCTGTACGATTACTGGGGTTGATGTTTGCTCTGAAACAGGAGTCAGGATGACTTTAAAATTCCCAGAGCCTGCCAGAGATATATGCAAAAACCACACTATTCAATAAACGTTTGATTATGTTTAATATATGGTCCATTATATTAAAACTCAGGGAACAAACAGTGCCAACAAGGCAAAGACATTCCTTTCAGTGGAGAATTTCCTTCCATAAAATCAAGACCTTGTCCTTATGATAGGGTGGGGACAGTAAGAAATCTAGGCTTAGGATTAAAATCTGTGACCTGCCACCGAGATCTGTTTCTGAAACCGATACTGAACTGAATTAACTCCTGTTACTTTCCTGGTAGATCTTTAAATTAGCATGTATTCTTCTAAAGCTTCTACTTAAGGATGTGGCCAGCTCTTCATATATCTGGGGAACATTTATCATCAAGGATGATAAACTTTTAATCCTGCACTAAGAAGACCAAATTATTAGAGAAATCTCTGGTTGTAAGTTGACACTGCAAAGGAATGTGGCCAACCTTCCCTGTGTTTTTAGTAATTTCCTATCTATTGCAGGATTTGCCATAATCCTGTAATATGCTCTTAATGATGCTCATGCTCAATTTGTTCTTCCATTTTATGTCTAAATTATAAAATCATAAAAGAAAACTGGTGATAAACTTCTAAAAAAACAATAGAATCTCTTACAAGAGATTAAATACTGCTATCCAGGAGATTATTATGGTCATATTCATTGCAAAGAGCCTTGAATCAATATCTGTCGAGAGAAATTTTCCTTTTTTCCTTCTGCTGCCCTCCCTCCCTTCTTCCTTTCTTCCTCTCCTTCTTATTTGCAGTTATGAAATTTCCTGTTTTATAGCACATGACAGCTATTTCTTAGGTTTCAAAACTTGGTGAGGTACTATATTTGGCTTTGCTAAAACATGTCCAATTATGACCTTGATAATTATTGTCTGTCTTTTGATAAACTGAGTCACTTCCAATGTCTCCTACAGTGCTGGTTTCATGACAAAGCTACCTATGCACACAGAGCCAGCTCTCTTTGCAAGGTCTTTCCTGAGAAAATCCTTCTGTTCTCGTGATGATGCCCAGCTTTGTGGTAGGCATACAACTTCTGCATAAATTATTACATGTTTCCCAGCTCTTTTGGTTAAGACTCACTAACTCACATTTCAGTGGTAATGGCAAAATGATACTTTTTGATGTAGCCTTAAACAGCATACCCCACACCGTATCTTTTTTCAGGAGACTAGAAGCCAAAAGTTATCAGGGAAATTGGAATATAACTCCATTCCTAGTGGCCTGGCCTAGAATAATGATGGGGGACTATGGACAATGGTGCTGCAAACACTATCAGTGGAACAGACCGGAGATAACGTGGACAACCAGATAACGTATCAGCCTAGAACACCAGGGCAAAAATCTGCAGAGGAGCGCAGGAGTGCATTCCTTGTTGTCATGGTCCGTGCTTTATATTAGAGCTCCGTCCACTATCTCCACAACACGAGTAAGGATCCGAGCATCTATCCACTTCTGCTCTGCTCACTCTCATTGTGTTTTTCTCTGAAATAGGAAATTATCTCTGCTCAGGGGTATCCATGGGGCAAATGCAGTGTTACTTGAAGATGAGGGAGGGGGCAAAACGGGGCTGCTTGTGTCTCCAGGTGGCTCCTTATCCTTTCAGTGGGAGTTGACACTCGGAGACCTTCCTGCGTCTGGGGATGAACTCCGCACATGCTACTCTCCCTGCAGCAGAACGGGACCCAGCCTGCAGCGAGCCAGCAAATCTACGAATCCCTCAGACTCAGGGCACAAGCGTGAGACCAGAAACCTTCTCTCCTAAGTCGCCTCATCCACGTCACTGATTCCTCTACTGTTTGCTCACCCCATCAATAGTAGGCACTTTCATTTACAGTGATATTCTGAGTGACTCTCGACTGGGTTCTGATGATTGGACTAGGAGGAGTATGAGGTTCCGCCCTTCGAGGGGGCGCAGCTCGGGCTGAACACGCACTCAGGTCGCGGGACAGCCGTGGACTGGGGGCCGGGCCTCTGCTCCTGGCCTCTGCACCGCGCCCCCCAGCGGCTCGTCACAGCTGCGCCTCACAGTTACAATGCGGGACAGTATCTACAGCACGAAGTCTATGTACACATGGACCATTCCCTTGGCATGCTTTAGAGGGACACACACGCTCACACACATGTACACCCACATGAGAGCGAAAGACGTGAGCACGCACGCGCAGCGGAGAAATTAAAACGGCACTTCCTAGCGTTTGCGGCATGACTAGTGCTCAGGGGGGCGAGTGGGCAGGCGGGGTTGGAAGGGGGGTGTCTGGGATGGGTGTGGAGAGAGAGAACACACTGCAGGGGGGAGATGACCTTAGAGTTGGGGAGAGTGTAGGCAGAAAAGCCTGCTTGGATTTCACCGATAGTCTGAAATGGTTACGAGTCAGCTCAAATGAAAAACAATGAAAAGATGTGGGAAGTATACACACCAAAAGTAAGACCTTTTTTTTTTTTCCCCTCTGGCATGAAAAAGATGGAGGAAGGATGGAGTGTGAATGGGGGGTTAATGTCCATCGGGTACCTCTTCACTTGTCTTATTTTTACAACATCTGGATGTGGTCAGTGTGGCGTTCTCTTCACAGAGCATACATTTGCTTAGATATACACATATCCTGGCAGGACTTTCCCACCCTGCATTACACTCAAATATTTATTGATGGACTTTGAAGTTGTTTTTAAATGTATTTTCTTCTTCCTTTTCTTATTTCCCCCTTTATTTATAAACACACAAAGTTGTAAAATAAACAGTCTCCCCCCATCTCTCTCTCTCTCTCTGTCTCTCTCTCTCTCTGTATCCTGTGTGACGCATTTTTTGTGTTTTTTAAAATTATTTTAAAATTTTTATTCTATTAACATTTGCTGAGAAGGCAGAGCAGAGATGCTGCCAGCAGCCACAGTGGTACGGCCAGACTGATGGATCCGTTTATTCCTCTCACCGACCCAGGTCCTGCAGTGCAAAAGAGAGAGAGAGAGAAAAGAGAACAGTTACATCCAGCCCGCTCTCTGTTACAGCAGACTGCTGATGGTAGCAGAGGTAAGACCAGGCCAGGTACCGGCCCTTCCCAGTCAGTGCGCTACGTACAGCCCAGCAAGAGCTCACAATCTTTCCTGAATCCCTCTTGAGCTATAAACATCTTAAGGAGTATCACTGGTTGAAACACCTCTAAATATAAAATGCTCCATCAGAGAAAGCCCTAAACTGGCTGTCACTGATGCCTCTGATGGTACCACGGGTTCCTCCTCACTAGCCACCTCTTGCCCACTCTGCTCGCATGGCACCCGATGCCACCACTCATTAATATGCCAGGCATTGGTGAGGGGCCTTCCACAGCCAGACGTCAGCTCCTCCAGCCAATTTATCACAACATCTTCATCAATAAAACATGGAACCAATCTGTGATTCTCTTGTTTCTCGGGAGGGAAGCAGTAATTATTTATTGGTTATAGGGAGGGGAGCTGTTTCAAGGTGATATTGACTGGTGACACTTTAGCTGCAAGGTAGAAAATAAGTCAATTCATTGTAGGGTTTTAAGAGGAATCATGTGGTCTAAACTCTTTATTTAACACTTTAAAAATCAGAAGCAGCCCTGGCTGGTGTGGCTCAGTGGACTGAGTGTGGGCCTATGAATCAAAGGGTCACCAGTTCAGTTGCCAGTCAGGGCACCTGCCTGGGTTGGGCCAGGTCCCCAGTAGGGGGTGAGTGAGAGGCAATGACACATTGATGTTTCTCTCCTTCTCTTTCTCCTTCCCTTCCCCTCTCTCTAAAAGTAAATAAATAAAATCTATAAAAATAAAAAGCAAAGACAACCACAACAACAGGAAACAGTAAACAGACGTAAAGTGTTTAAGAGGCAGGTCCAAAGCAGAAGCAGAACTGAGACTTGAACTTGCCCAGAATTTATCCTGGAATGGCAGCCTGTGTGCTTTGCCTACAGTCACCCTGGTTTTCCCCACGTGGACATGACTTGGGGGGACCATGTGGCTATAGATCAAGAGGGAGATTGGGTTGGAGAGGAAAAGCGGAGACGTGATCCATGTGTTGAGAGAAAGAGGAGGACTGGGGAAGAAAATGTAGGTCTGAAGAGCTTGTCTTTTGTACTTTGCTTGTCCACTCTTCCCTTTTTTACAGTTTTGTTTGTATAGATCCATTATAAGAAGGAAATATTTGTATTTTTCACACTCAAGACTTTGGGATTTAAGGCTGTATACTTAGATGATGACATGCAAAAAACAGATCAGCGTGACTGTAATTATGAAGTTTTGAGGGCACATATGCAGATGAATGTGTGTGAACAAGTGTGTATGTGAGTGTGTGTGCATGTGCATTTAAACTTACTGCCCTGGCTGGTATGGCTTAGTGGACTGCCCCCGGCCTGTGAACCAAAGAGTTGCTGGTTCCATTCCCAGTCGGGGCACAGGCCTGGGTTGAGGGCTGGGTCCCCAGTCGCGGATGTGTAACAGGCAACCACACATTGACGTTTCTCTCCCTCTCTTTCTCCCTCCCTTCTCCTCAGCCTAAAAATAAATAAATAAAATCTTTAAAAAAATAAAATGACAATGGTTTGCAAGTATGATGGAAGCATCCTCTGGTATGTGAATGTTGACAAAACAGTCAACAGACATAGCAGATCAGAGGTAAAAGAACACGGAAAGTGTTGCATTCAAGAATATTTTTTATTCTATGTATTTTTGTAAATAATAATAGCAAGAGCAACCAAACAAAACCAGTAAACAATTACATAGCTCTTACTGCAAGGTACTGTTATAAATGCTTTACAGATATGAGCACACAACCATTCTGTGAGGCAAGTACCACTATGGCCCTGAATCACAGTGAGATAACAGCAAAGAGAGGGAGAATCACTTTCGCAAGTTCACACAGCCAGCAAGCGGGGTTTTCACCCAGGCAGCTGGTTTCAGCATCTGTGCCTGTCGCTGCTGAACAACGTAGTCACCCAGTGAAGGGGTGACAGCGAGTCTCTTGTGAGACATTTAGCAAATGAAATTTTTGTTTGTTCAAAGTAATAGCCAGAACAAACAAACCAACATGAAGGCATCCAGTATCTTTTTAAAAAAATGATTTCAATTGAATATTTGTACTAGAATGCCTTCTTAAAAATTAAAAACACTAGTTATTATAAAGATATGAATATATACAGACTTCAAACAGCATAGTTATAGTGTAAAAATGAGCTTTATTATATGTAAAGATAAGGAAATACAGATTAAATTTTTAAATATTCAAAGGCTATTGGATCATATTAATAAAAAGACATTTAGCTACCTCAGGTTCATGCCTTTTATGAGGAATTAAAGTGCAGGAAGATCAGGTATCCTGCATAAAGCACCTGACCAGGCCCTAGAATCCAGGTATTCTGAGTCTTAGATCAAGACCATTCCTCACCCGCTCCCTCCCTGGCCCCTGCCCCTGTCTTTTTTGCCCCCCGTACCTTTAAGCTCTGCTGATGGCAGGTCCCCAGGGCTCTGGCCTGATGGCCATTGAGTCCTTCTATGTGCTATAGATGGTGCAAGCTCTGTGGCACACTTGTTTGAATCGGTGCATCAGTGAGACTTCCAAAGTAGAAAAAGACTACACACAAATTGAGGCCATCCATGGCTAAACAAAAATGGTGTTTGTTTTGCTCTAGGTACAGTGTGAAACAGAAGGTTTCCATAAAGAGTCTAATTCTGCCCACTTCCTTAATCTCGTTTTGAGTGCTGGGGCAGTCATCTGTCATCTGTCATGCTCAGTCACCTGTCAGGCGCCGTGGAGGTGAGCATCACTTGGGAGCCTCGCCCTGCCGTTCCACGGGAAGGGCGGTGAATGTTTGAGAAAGCAGATTCTCTCATTGCAATATGGACATAGATGAGCCTAGACCAACATATGCAATATAACATTTTCTAATGTATGTGTACATGTCTATATGTAGATACAAAGAGAAGAATGTATGATTATGCATAGTCATATATACACATACGACATACACAGGTATTATCGGTCTTTTTGTACACATGATTCAGAATGAACTGTTACTTTTACATGGTATTCTGTGTTATATATAGGGATTCCCAGTAAATGACTGTATTAATAATCTTTAATCTTATCCTTAATAAAATTACTACATCTTTGAAGTGAAGCTTGTGGATTTGTTAAAGATATCTTCATCTCTATCAATTATTATTTATTAAGTGCTCTCAGATAGCTGTTTGATGTACTTATACGACTTGCTGTTTTCACAATGGGTTTTGAGAGTAAATAAATAGGCTAAAAAATGCAAGGGTGCATGGGTGACAGTTGGGGACTCATCACGAGTGTGTGTGCAATTATCCCCGTAGATAGGTATAGATGACTGTGCAGAAGAGTGCTTCAGTTAATGGCCATTTCGGGGAAAAATAATCAGCACCATCGCTAATTATGTTTTAGCTCATAGTTATGAAAATTCTGCTTATTTGTGGAAATGCAAATGATAAATCTTATTTCCCACACCAGATGGCCAGGCTCAGCAAGTCCTTTTATCTACAGACAGATAGAATGAAGGTAGTGTCTGCAAACACAATGTAGCCTTAAGACTAGATGGGTGACTAGAACCACGGTTCAAGAATTGCTACATGCTCTTCATATAACAGACAAATAGCGTATCTTGGTTGTTAGCCACATTCTATATGCATGTATGTGTGCACACACTTCCATGCATGGTTTCTGGTAAACTTTCAACATACGGTAGCAGAATCATCATTTTTATTAACTATAGATGTTTGGATTATCCCTGAATCAATGGATTGGTTTTTGAATCGGGTCAAGGCTTTTAATGTTTGACCCAAAGGGGCCAAATGCAGCTGCAAGACTAAAGATTTTGAGTCAACTCACCAGGCCAAGGCGCTCAGCCCAGGACAGGATGGTTAAGTGAGACGGCATCCAGGTGAATGCTGGGCCCATGGACTTGGCCATGGCAGTGCTTACAAAGGAAATTAGTTCTAGCGACTAAGGGCAAAACCGATAAAGCATCCTGAAACTGAGAAATGTGAGTCTGTTTTGGCAAGGCGTGTGCACTACGGAGCTGAAGCGGGAAGGACAGGTGATTTTTCGGCACCAGCTTTAGAGAGTATGCTCTGACAGACAGTTTGTGATTCAAGTCTGATTGACACATTTCTGTTGCTTCTCCTGGGTATTTACGGCTCGTTTCCTGGACTGGGAACTACATTCATTCAGAATAACCATTAGTCACAGCCTCAGTGGTTGTTGGGCGACCTTTCGTCCACTAAGCAGTCGAGGTCCATCCTAATCGTCTCCCTGTGCGTCATAGTTCAGCCCTACGAGAGAAGGTGGCCAGGCAAATTTAAGTTTGAATTATTCTTAGAATTAATCACTAAGGGCTGCCTGAGTGACTGAAAATAAGACAAAAACCCAAACAATACACGAAACAATAGTTAAGTGAAAGAGAAAAATAATCTCCTAAATCTCTCCTAGTAGGTGTTATCCGTTGTGCAGACGGAGGCCGCAGCCGGGCTGGGAAGCCCTGATTCAAGGGAGACCTGAAAGGACGGACTTTGGCGCCACCTGCCCTCCAGGCTCCGCCAGTACAGCTTCCTCTGGTGAAGGAACTCGGCGGATTGGAGTCTGTACTGTCGTCTGGGCTGGACCAGATCGGAAGAGGAGATATATATTGACGTTTCCTTCGAACATGGTGTCTTAGCATTAAATTTGAGCTCCTTCTACATAACTCTGTATGCACTACCTACCCTCTCCATGAAGTGTGTCTTGGGCAAGCCTGAAATATTCTCACAGTAAAATTGGAATTGTCATCTTTTCCATCAAAACAGCATCAAATATTTTGGCATGAAAAATTGTGAAATTTTAGGCCAGTATTTAGAATTACTTTGGGTGACACTAGGAATTTATCTCAATTGTCCCTGAAATAAAACAGAGAAAACATCCTATGTGTTATT